GTGAAAAGTATTCTTTCAGCTTTCATTTTGAATATGTTTGGACTAAAGAAGCAATACATGACTTAGGTCTGCATATATAAGTAATTGCCAGGGCAGGACAACCCACTTCACCAGGCTCTGTGTGGGGTGAGGTCTTGGAGAGGGGGCAGTACTACTGCCTGGCTTCTGGAGGTTTGCCCAGCATCTGCCCTGTTCCCAGTCACTTTACCCACTTCCTGTATGCTACTGGCACCCTTTTAGTTGTTGCCCTGGTGGTAATCCCTGCATGGGTGGGTGTGCATACATTCTAAGCCTATTTAGGCCCTTTCGATGGTATCCTGAAAATTCAGCAGTTTTTCCTGCTGCTCCAACCCCCACTGGTTTTTACAGTCAGAAGTTATGGGGATTCATCTTCCCAGCACTGGAACTCTGGGCTTTGCGTTCTGGCCTGGGGCTGGGATCACAAGCTTCTAAGGTATCCCTCCTGATTTTTATCCAAAACAGTGAAAGTGCAACTGCCTGTTCCACGCCGCTCTGTACCACACTGTATCTCTGCACCTCTCCACCCATCTCTGCAGCTCCATCCCTTCTACCTGCCTGGATGAATGTGGCTTCTTTATATTCTTGGTTGTCAGATTTCCGTGCAGCTCGATTTTCTGACAGGTCTGGGTACTTGTTTTGAGATATAACTGTAATTCTCTCTGTGGTTGCATGAGGAGGAGAAGCGTGTCTACCTATGCCTCCATCTTGACCAGAAGTCCGTTTTAGATGTATCTACCTAAAATTATTCCTCAAACATATTATTTGAGTTAAGGCAGAACCTACTTTCTAGTAGTTTTCATTGATTGCTTCAGGATACTGAAAACATTTAATTACTTCTCCCTTAAGTCCTTTCACGTATTTGAAAATAGGTAACATGTTCTCCTGAAGTCTTCTCTAGGCTAGAAATCTCTATCCTCTTTACCTGTTCAAATAAGGTAACTTCAGGCCTGTTTACCATCCTGGTCATTTTGTTGGAATGGTGCCACTTTCTGAATGATCGATCCTCTTACATGTGGGAGCCAGCACTGAGTTCAGTATTCTAGATGTGATCTGGCCAGTCTAAAGTGTTGGATTATCACCTCTCTTGTTCTGCATATTATAATTCACTAATCATGGCGCATTCTCATATTTACTTTTTGTCCTGACATATCTATTGTACTTTTAATGCATAATGATCAGGGTCAACCAAAATTCTAAGCCTCTTTCCTTGATTTAGTAAAATTAGTTTTGAGATACAAGGGTTAACGGTTTCAATATCCTTGTCCAATTTTCTTTTGGTTAAATTTGTTTCAGTGACTGCCCATTAAAATACTTAAAATCCTAATTATAACGTACCCCCATGGAACTATTCATCTTGTTTTTACTTGATCTAAAACTATTAGATGTGGCATAAAAATTATCTAAATTATCAATAACACAGTTAAGATAGAACTGTATATCACACTAGTAGATATCCTCTGCTGACTGGCATGACATATTATTACAGTCATATATTATAGCATTAAAACACTCTATGAAAAAAGATATTTAATATTGCAATCATTCAACTGAATAGCCATTCACCATATCTTACTTTAAGTATTGTCTTCAAAAGGCTTATATAACTTCTAGGCCAAAACTTAGTGAATTCTCAGTTTCTGAGAATTCTAACTTTGATTCTAGTCACCGGGGATACTAGCGTTTAATATAAAAATGTCTCTGCCTTCTTGGTTCTTAAATTCTAGTAGGAGAAAGACAATAAATAAACAATAAATAAGTAGATGGGTATAAACACAAAATAACTTCTAAAAGTGACTGTCATGAAGAAAAAAAAACAGGTTAATGGAATAGAGTCACTGGGTGGGTGTTTTAGGTCAAGTAATTAGAGAAGGCCCCTTTAAGTGACTTGTAAGCTTGAATTGATTAACAGAAGGAGTCAGCCTTGCAAAATTCAGGACTAGGAAAGAAGTTAAAGGGAAAGGTCAAGGTGACTAGGAAGAGTAAATACAAGCACATCTATCCCAGCTATTTTGCAATCCTACTTTTTATAGGTCATCTAGTTATTCCCAACTCTCCCTGAAACATAAATGTGTGTCTGTCCGTAGCCAATCATGGACCAAGAAATCTATAGTTATAGTTCTGGACTAACGTAACTTCTTCTGGAGTTTGGGGAATGGGAAATGGGGTGAGTGGTTATACCAATGCTTAAAGGTTAGAGTAATGAGAAACTTTGCCAACATGACTAGCTCTATCCAATGGTCATAAGAATCCCAAATTCTGGCTAACTTTATAAAGAGCATATTGTTGATCAAAGGAGAAAAGAAAAAGAGAGTGAAAAATTCACAACTTTAGGAAACACATGTCAACAGTTCTTGAGCTTAAGCAAAGGTTTACCACTTCCACAAATAAGTGGAAAATCTGAGCACGTTCTCAAGGAAAATAAAATAATTCAATTTAGCTATAACACAGGGCATATGAAGGTTATCAACATAAGATATAAACAGGTTGGGGAAATGTCACTGAATACTTTTTATGCCAAGCAGTTACATTTGATTTTGTATGAATTTGAGAGCTACTAAAAGCTTTTTGGGGAGGGTGGTGTGACCGATCTCAGAGCTTGGTGCAGAACACAGACTAGGAGTGGGGAGACCAGTTAGAAAACTATAAAAAAATTAGCAGTAATAATTCAGTTAAGAACTAATGCTTGCCTGAATTTAGGTGATGTTTAACCTGTTGGTGATTACCTTTCAGAATGCTAAATGCCCACAGTTTACAAGAATGAAGTAAAATAGGCATTTTAGTGCATTTCCGGTGGAAGTGGGAATCATACTTTACTGGTGTACAACTGCATGGGATTGCATTACAAAGGAGAGAATGTCAAAAAGACCAGAAGACTGATAGATATGAAGGATGAGAGAAGAGAAGCTATTGGAGATGATTATGAGGTTTTAGAGGTGATTGTGCTAGATGATCAATTAACAGAAATGAGGAAACAAGAGGAGATGATGAAAAAGAGCAGAACACATTCAAAAGACTGAGGATCTGCCCTGGCCTCATCATACAAATACTTTGTAATCTTGGAAAAGCTCACTTAAACTTAACATCTATAGTAATGAATATAAAATGGTGGTGGCAGAGGGCCTTGAAATAGACTACCTTTCAAGCTAGAAAATTCTGCGATTTTAGAATGTTGTGAATCGTATTATTGAAGCTTTTAATTTCAGAGAAATGTCTTAAACTATAAACAATAAGGCAGGGACTTATCTTACTACGTTTCACATATTAGCTTAACTAACAAATAAATAAATAAATGATTAGAAATATCTGGGCCTTTAAAAAATTGAAATTAATAGTACGCTTTCTTTCATATTTCTCTGCAACTGCATATGTGCTTGTATCTATCTGTGTGTTCACAAGAATCGGAATTTGCTAGTTTGTAGCCCCTTTTCTCAGCATGACAGCAAATGTAGTTTGCCATATGTTTCTATATATTCAAAACCATATTTTTAAAGATGTTTTAATATAGGTGTATGAATAGCTATAATCTTCTTAACCCTCTGTTGATTATATACATTAGTGTTTAATAACTTGAGGTACACACATTTTTACCTACATCTCAATGTACATTTGTAAATTATTTTCCCAAAATAAACATCTAGACCTGGAATATTTCTTTTAAAGGGCATAGCTTTAATTTGACATATTTCGAAACTCTGTTCCAGTAAACCTATTACATTTCTACCAGTAATAATATTAAAGTATGCTTTGTTACACTCGTGCCAAATGTAGGCATATAACATTTTTAAAAAGCAGTTCCCAACAAATAGAGTGGCATCTCATTTTAATTTGTATTTGAATGTAGAAAAGTTAAACATGATTTTTATGTTTATATGTTTTATATAAACATATAAACATTTTATGTTTATTGGACTTCTGTATTTATGTTCAAGAATTTTATTAAATCTGGGAATATTTTCTTTTTGGATTCTCATTTAATTTTAAAGATTAAACTTTAAACTCATTAAACTTTCATCTTTCATAGGTGTTTCAAAAATTTGTTCACAATTGTTTTGTGTTGTGTACTTTAACATACAAGTTGTAATGATTGTGCATTCCATCTTTCTTCTCAGTTCTACCTTTTATTTTTATGCTTAGAAGTGTCTTCTTAGACTATATATGTTCACTGTATTTTCTTCTTAGTTCTTTTATTGGACATATGTAATATTAACCCATCACCAATTTAATGCATGGTGATTTCTTCATGATGTGGACAGTGGCTACCATTGTCAACTTTCTTATTAGTTCTTATACCTATTGTTTCCCTAGAGTTTCCTAGGTAAATTTTTAAAATCTACAATTTAATGCAACTTAATTATTTTTTTAATAGTTCATTGCTTTTTGTTGTTTCACTCAGAATTTCCAGGACCATGTTGGGGGAGGGGGACCAGTGGTAACCTTTATATCCCTTACAGCATTTATAATATGTTATGCCATAAAACGTTTCCTGAAGAGCTGAGTGATCTAAAGTGTTTCGGTGCATCAAATATCTTTCATCTTCATAAATCCGAAATGAAGACGTTATCATTTCCATTTCACGGATGGAGAAACTGAAATTCAAAAAGATACATAAACACAAAGCCCAAGGGCTAGTTTGAGAAAAAAATTTCCTTGACTCCAAAATCTTTTTTCTATTATGTGAATAGCAGCCATTAAGGCATTGGAGGGAGGCTGGCTCTGGCGTCGCTGGAATGTCCCCTCCAATCCGCACTTTCAGATTTAGAACATTGAGAGCAAAGGCCCCACCAGGCAGTGCCAGTTACCCCGTAGGCACGTGGTAGTCAACAGCAGCCCGAGGCGGACAGTCACACTAACCTGTAAGATTTTCAGGCTTTTCTAAGCGAGGGCCGGGCGCGGTTTTACGCGCCGGCTCCGGGCCCGCGAACCAACGGGGAAGTCCAAGTTTGCCGCTCTTCTCCGGGCAGACCTGCCTCTCAGCTCCGATCGCCTCCTCTCCGCCCCCTGCAGGCCGGCCGCCGGGACTGCGCAGGGGACGGTGCCAGCTGGGTCTCGGCGGCCGGGCAAAAAACTGCTGGCCGGGCAGTGTCGCCGCGGAGACGTCGGGTCATGGCTCGGGTGCTGATCGTGGGCGCGGGGCTAACGGGAAGCTTGTGCGCAGCGCTGCTGCGAAAGGAAGTTGCAGGTCCTTTACATCTCGTTGTGTGGGACAAAGCTGGGGACGCAGGTGGGTCGACTACTGGCCAAACGCGGGAAAGGAAGCCCGGGCGAAAGCCGGTTTCTGAGGTAGCCAGGGCCTCACCAGGAAAAGTCTGGGGAAAATGCAGTTTACCCACCAGCCGGACGGTGCGGTGTGCGCCCATCACGTGATCGGAGACTTCCGCCGCTGGAAAAGGCCGGAGTGGGGCCGCGGGTGGGGGCGGCGACCCCTGCCTGGCTGGCGGTGCTGCGCCAGTACGCGCCAGGCCCCAGCTGCAGGGAAGCGATCCTGACCGGAGTTTGCCAAGCCTGGGCCTACCGCTGTCGCTGATAAATAGATTTTTCATTTTGGCCTGCCTGTGCCTTTGCAGTTTTCTCCAAATTATGCGGATCCCCCAAAACCCATTGACCAAGACCCAATGAAGATGTAGTTTACAGTATCCAGTTATTCTCATGAATCCTGACTCAGAGAGTGAAAGCATTCATTGATTGATTCATTCTGACATTTCATTCATTATTTTATTCATTCATTGCTTTCATTCGAGTTAGCTGTATGCGCCACACATAGTACTGAGCACTGCTGTGTTATTCATGTGTCATTCTTTAAAAAAAAAATCACAGTGACCAAATTTTCTTTTAACTGTTTTCTATCAATGTTGGATGACACAATCTTCAACTTCAAAAAACAATTTTTCTAATATAGACGTAAGGTTACCCATTTGAGGTAAGATGGGGTGAATAGCATTAATTGCAAAAGGTTATTCTAATGCAGAGACATTTTCCTGTGGATTAATTCAAGGGGGAAGAATGACCACCAGCAGCAGTCCTCAGAACCCACAGAGCACAGTGGACTTGGGTGCCCAGTACGTCACACGCACGCCTCACTATGCCAAGAAACACCACCGGTGAGTTAGTTGAGGAGTGGAATCAGTCTTAACTAGCTGTATGACTTAAAAATAAACTATCCATATTTAACAGGGTTAAACTTTGCTTCTTGTAACATAGTGAAATTATTTTGATATTATTTGTGGTGGTTTCAGCATTAAAAGGTTTACCTAGTAAAATGGGAAAACTGTAACACATGCCTGAGAGTGTTGTTGTGAAGGTCAGGTGAGATGTTAGATGGCACAGAGGAAGGGCCCGGTAAATATGAATCACTGTGTTGGTGCTGAGGAAGAAGATGAAATAGCTGTGTTGGAAGTCAATGCTCACCAACTTAAATAAAACTGGGGTACTGAATAACTTTCAGTTCATCTTCGCCGACTTTATTTATTTACTTATTTAGAAATGTACAAGAAAATAGGCTCTTGATTAATGTCAGCAGAAGATTTATGGATTCTCGAAACGTTTCTGTTCTTCCCCCGAATTATGCTGTACTAACACAAATCATACATTGAGTTGATCATATGACAATTTCCGGTTATTATTTAATATTATAATCTCTAGGAATTCTTGTGAGAGAATATGGTATGTTAGAGCTAATTATAACATATAACTATCTTATATATATTGATTGATTTCAGTTTTTATGACGAACTGTTAGCTCTTGGCATTCTGAGGCCTCTGACCTCTCCTGTGGAAGGAATGGTGGTGAAAGACGGAGACTGCAACTTTGTGGCCCCACAAGGAATTTCTTCAATTATTAAACATTACTTGAAAGAATCAGGTGGGAGTAGGATTTTTTCTGCCTTCTTTTAAAATTAGCACTTTAAAATAAAAATTATACACATAATTAAATATTAATACTATAAAGAAAATGATAAGATATTGTCCTATTCGATATTCAATAGCTAGTTTTCTTCCCCTGAAGTAATCATTAATAACAGCGTCCAATGTATGCTTCTAGAAAAGTGTTTATGCATTTATCTATTAATCTACATGGCTGTCGCTATTTATCTATTCACATACCTTTCTATTTTTATTCTTTTTTAAACTTTAGATTTTAGATTTATTTAGGGCCATTTGCACATGTTTGTAGAATATTTAGTTTAACAGATGGCACGATAGCTCCCCCTCAGTGAGACCCTGACCTAAATATATTTCCTTTACTTATAGAGCAAGAGGATAACATTAAACACAAAATCTTTTGATTTGCAGCACTGAACAATGATCTACACAGGCATCCTTCAAAAGCTACAGTTAAGGATCCGCTTAACTTTTCAGCAATACAAGCCCAGGTCTTCTGGCCTATTTGCTTGACATTCGTGTTTTATGCCTTGAAATTTCTTTTTGACTGCATCCTTGGAGCTTGCATCGATTTTATTTTTCGGAGGTGGTGCTAGTTCTGGTGCCCTCAAAAAAGCAAACAAATAAGAATGACATTTCCTCTTTTCTGGATTCCTTAGTTTTAAAGCTTGGATCAAACAAAGCAGAGTGAGAAGCTTCCTCAGGAAGCATTTCCACAAAATGTTTAAAAGGATTGGCAATGGCTACACCACCATCTCCAACCAAGAATCAAGTTCTCTTTGCCTTCCTCAGTGATGCACTTTTTGTCTGCACTGAGACAAAAGATGCCAGCCTTCCTTCTTTTGTTGATTTCTTCTAGTGTGGAGCACTTCCTAAGTTTCATGTCATAAAAATGCAACACACTTCATCAGCAACTTGCACTCCCAAGGCCATCTTCAATTCAGGGTTGGCTGCAAGGACATGGCGGGCAGGGGGAAAGCAGGACAAGGAGTTGGGGGGCAGTCGTCATAATGTCTAATGAGCATCCTTCTCTTAGCAGCAGGACCAAGTGACATGTTTATAACTATTGTTTTGAAAAATATATGCTCATGGGACTTTTTACATAAACCATTCTATAACATGTTTGGACTATGTTGATAATAAATCTATCTCTACTCTCTCTCTCTCTCTAGAGCAGTGCATTTAGTTAGACATTGTTTACATTTCTTCAGATTTTGTCTGATCAGTTCTGAACTGCTGCTCCCTAGAACCTATTTGTAGGAAGTTATGGTACAAAAATGAATATAGATTTTCTCTATGAAATAGAAGAAGGCTGGGAAGAAAATTGAGTAAATATATTTCAGAAACATATTTGTTTTTGTAAAATGTTTAAACTTTAATATTCTGATATCCTTATAGCTTTTATATACTTAAAATTTATTACATGTTATAAATATTTAATAAAATATTAAATATTATAAATATTCAAGAAACAGTGGTAAATAAGAAGTGGTTCCTACCTCTGTTAACAGAAAGACTATGTATATACACAAAGGCACTTAATAAATGCCAAGAAGGAATGAGAGCCTTATGAGAGAATGTACAGGAGATCTAACTAGTTTCAGAGGTAGGAGAGGGGGAGATGGGTCAAAGAAAGTGTCACTGAGCAACTGCTGTTTTCATCAGTACCCGAAAGGTAAGCAAGAGGAAACTAGGCCAAGAAATGAGTGGTGATAATTGCATGCAGTGGACGCATGAAATTGGAACTGTTCTAATATAGGATCAAGTTGGTACATTTGAGGAACTAAAAGGTCATCATGACTGGAGAGTCGTGAATGAGGAAGAAAGTGATGAGATGAAGTTCAAGACTAAGACAGGATCATAAGGGGCTTTGTAACCAATATTAAAGATTTTATACTTTGTCTTATGTGCAGTGGGAAGGCATTGAAGAATATTAGATTGTCGGATAAAAAAGGACAACAGCCAACACAATAATAGCCCTCCGGTGTGAATGAATCAAAATTATACCTATATTTTTGTCAGATTGGCAAAACATAGGATATATTTTTTGGTGTGCTGCAGAATTTTAGTAATTAGTTTGTGTGTGCCATGAGATGAAAAAGGCTAAAAATCGCTGCCTTATATAATCAAACGAGCATTGATTATATACCTAGTGTGTGCCAAGGACTGTACTCTATAGGCTGTATGCTTATGTAGAAACAAAACAGACTTGATTACAGATTAGAAGGGAACAAAATATTAATCAAATAACTACTCAAATAGTTACCAAAATGCCTTCTGTCCAAAAATGGAAAATGCAGTAAGAGGATATTCTAGATTGTGTTTCTGTTAATTTCTTCTTAATTAAGGTAGTTGATCCATTGATAAGGACTTGGATTCTCTTACAGAGACCATTTTCAGGTTTAATAGGGAATAATAATTTCTTTAATAGGGGATATTGCTCTTTCTTGCTATCACTAGAGGGAAGAATTAACACCTTTACTAAAATGTATACTTGCTCTGCAGTGATAATGAGTTTACAGTCAGAGAGAGGTAGCTTTAAATTACGGCATGGCATTTCCGAATCTGTTTCCTTACCTGTGAAATTAATTGGTATAACGTGCATCCAGTGCTTTGTGTAGTCTTGTCATGTAGCTGATGCTTAATAAAAAATAGCTATGGTTACTACTATTATTAATTGTAATAATATTTTGCCCCATAGCAGGCATTGATAGGTAGGCCAGGAGTGCCAGAAGGAGATGAATTCTCAATAAATGCTGAAAAAAGTAAGAAAGTGAACCCCAGGGGACATAGGGGACAAAGTGCACCATTTATTCACCCAGGTGACTCTTCTCTCCCCCTTTATTCACATGGAAAATTCTGCTTACGTGAACATGATTTTGCTTTTGGAACAGGTGCTGATATCTGTTTCAGACAATGTGTGACCCAGATCAACCTGAGAAATGACAAGTGGGAAGTCTCCAAGGAAACAGGCTCCCCTGAGCAGTTTGATATTGTTGTCCTCACGATGCCAGTTCCTCAGATGCTGCAGCTTCAAGGCGACATCGCCAACTGTGAGTCTCAGCCTGTGTTGTTTACTTCTGGGAATGGGATTTCTTTGAGAGAGCATGAATTCAGCTTAACTCTCTTAGCAAAGGGTCTAATAGTATGGATCCTCTTGATTCGAATGTTTTACAAGCATAAGATGGCCTAGTTCATGGTATTAGCCTTGGTCAAACTGAAACCCTTAACCAGTTCAAAGTTGAATGATTTTCTAATTGCTGTTGCCTTTAAGATGTAAATAATTTTGATGGATATGCAGTAGTTTGCCCTACAAGGATAGTAGTCTTCTTGTGGACACCTGGAGAAAAGAAGGTTTTTATGACACAGCATTAATTAGGTGAACCTCTGGCAAACCTCATCTCTGACTGCTCTTGAGTAAGAGTCTCATGTTCTTCCCCGCTTGGGATCTCTTGGCTCACCTTTTACTTGGCTTCTCCCCATCTTTTTTCAAAAGCAGCTTTAAGATGTAATTCTCATACCATGTAATTCATTCATTTAAAATATACATTTCGGTGGTATTTCATATATTCACCAATATATGCAACCATTCCCACTCTCAATTTTGGGCTATTTTAATAACTCCAAAAGAAAACCCACACCCTAAAGCCCTTGCCTGCATCCTTCTGTCCCCTAACCCTAAATGAACTGTCACCCATTTTCTGTCTCTAGATTTCCTCATTACCTGGATTCTTAAAAACTTTTCTGTGGATCTGCTTTGCCTCTACCTATGCCAGGTTTCACTGATTTTTCTCCTGTCTTTCATTTTGTCTGACTGAACCTGGCACATCAAAGTCATTGACTTCTAGAGGACACCTCATCTTGCCTTGAAGCCCATGAGTTATAATAAAGCAGAGCCTGGCAATGGTGGGCAAGACTTGGGGTCATGTAGGAATGGCGGTGGATGTGACGTGCCTGGAGCTTTTGACTTTGTTGCCTGACTGAAGTTGACAATGGATTTAATTGAGAAATGGCCTTTGATGCCACTATTACAAAGAAAACTGGTAATAAAAGTGTTGTATCTATCATAGATTTAGAACTCTAATAGAAATTGTTCTTTGAGGAAGAAAATAGCTGCTTATTAGATCTTCAAAGTAATTAACTTTTCTTTAAATACCAGTTCTACCAGACAGTACAATATATCGGTACCTTCTTTGCTAGTGCAGTGTGAGGTAATGAAATAGAAGGGATTGGAATATTTATTATGTAGCTAAAGGAAAAGCTAAAATATATAGGCACAAAATATATACTAAAAATATATAGCTATATTTAAAAGGCAATCAAAAAAAATATATATAATATTTATTATATAGGCACATTAGGAAAGTAATTTCAATAATCTCTATCATGAGCCTACTTCTAGTCTCTTGCCAAAGTTACTTTAAAGTAGGATGATTTATTGTCATGGTATCTGCAATAATTGTATAAATTTCAAGACTTAAATAATATGCTAGGACATTTTACTAAAATACAGTTATTGGTCAGTGGATTCAGTTGTGCTGTTAGTTACATATTCCGATTGTTAAAAACTACAACAGTTCTGTATATGAGGAGAGATCCGTCAGCGTTGCAATTGGAAAGTACTTGTCAGTATTTGTATTAGTGGCATATAAAACATAACACTTGGCATGTGTTTAAGGGCCTTCCAAATAATAATTTTATTTAGATCTTCCATATCCTTTGAATACTTGAACTATATTGGACTGAGACAGATAACTTAATTCTCTTACTGTTATTGTATTTCTTTATATCTTTCCAGAGTTTTGGGGGCAATTTTTGATTCATGTTTTTTGATACCATTTTATTTGATTCATCATATATCTTCATTAAATTTATGTGCTACATCCTTTTTACTTTAAGTCTTTCAGAGATGCTTTATTTTGAAAGGCATTTTTTTTAATTTGCTCATCTTTGAGTCCAGTAATTTAATAAAGATGTATAGTAGTTGTGTGTCGGTTTTGCATGGAGCATGTCGTCCATTATTTTACTTGAAAATTTGGCTTTCCCCTTATTTTCAACTAAGTTTTCTTCTGATACTTGAAGAATTACTTCTGGTACATTTATTATGATCTCAGAGTATCTTAAGAAACACAGAGTATCTCCCTCCCCTATCTGGTATTTTGTGTGAACTCACTTTCAACTTCGGTCTTTGCATTACTTTTTAACTTTCTCTAAAAAGCCTTCTCTCCATGTCACCCATGCAGTTTTCAAAAGTGTTCTTTTTGCTGTCTTCATTGAGATACTTTCCTAAAGAGGTCATATAATTCTTCGCTGTTTTCAGGTCATTGCCTAAGTGTTTGTTGAACTACTTACTCTGCTTCCTGACAAAATTTTTCGATGTGTATTTCTCATCAGCTCATTTTTTAGGTTCTTTTAGGTTTCGTAGTCTTTCTCCTTTTCTCAGCATGGGTCCATCTCTTTAGATAGTCATCTTTAAATGGGACTATTTCTGTCAGTTTTGTGAAGCATAGTGTTGTTGGGAAGGCCAGACATTTCAGTTAAAATATGTTCCCTCAGAACACTTTCCATATAAATTTTACAAATACTTACCTATGAACAATTGAATGCTAGTGGTCATTAATGTAATAATATAGTTATTAACAGGAAAAGATTTCAAAAGATTTTAAACTGAAAAACAAAAAGATGCATCTATATTTTTTCAATTTTGGTTGAAAAACATTTTTCAACTTAAAATGTTTTGACAGAAACATTTTAACATTTTTTATTGCTTAAAGATGATTTTTATATTCTTCCTTAAAATTTTTGAATAATCATAACTTTAAAATAAAGATAGTTTAGCTTTACTATTAAAAAATAATATTGACATAATGTGAAAAAATATATCATGCTGAAAAAGAAATAGATTTTTTTCTTTTTTAGTGGAACAATATCACGGAATAGGTAGGCTCTTCATGATGAACAAGTTTAAGACTCATTGACTTGGTGCAGTTGATTGATAGTTAGGGTCTTTGGAGCGTAGAATTGTCTCAATTCGTAATTGGACCCCATGCAAATAATTCCGTTTGCTTCCTTGTTATAAATGACCCAGTCTGGCAGTAAACAGTTAACAGAATGTCCTAACAATGAAGACACAATGCTTATGGGTATAAAAGAAAGGAGTTAAAAAGATCAGCTTTCTCTTTATCTTATAAGTTTCAATAATGACTTCAGTATAAAGAATAAGTTAATCCCTTCTCTCTTTGTTTCTGGAGAAGTTATAATATACTCTTATAATGTACTCTTGTTTGATTTTAGACATTTTCAATTTCTATGAAGAGATATCTGTTTATAAAGCCATTTATTGCCATCTAGTGGATCCCAATATACATTGCAGTTCCCTTCTGAATTTTTATTTTTATTTATCTATTTTTAAAATTGTAATAGTTTATTTTTATTGCATTTTTCCATTACCATTTTCCCCCTTGTATCTTATCCACCTCCACCCCCTGCCCTTCTCCCCTCAGTCACCGCACTGTTTTACATGTTCATTACGTGTGCAAGAGTTTTGGTTTTTTTATTCTGCTTGGTCCCTCATCTTCTGCCTCCTACCGCCACTGCTGTCAGCCTGCTCTTTATATGTCACTCTGCCTCTGTTTTGCTTGTTAGTTCAGCTTGTTCACTAGATTCCATATGTGGTACTTGTCTTTCTCTGACTAGCTCATTTCACTTAGCATAATGGTCCCCAGGTCCACTCATGCTGTCGCAAAGAGTGACTTTTCTTCATTTTTATGGCTGAGTAGTATTTAATTACATAAATATACCATTGTTGTTTTATCCATTCATCTACTTAGGCCGCTTCCAAATCTTGGGTTGTGAATAATGCTGCAATGAACATAGGGGTGCTTATATTCTTTTGAATTAGTTTTTTGGGTTTCTTTGGATAAATTCCCAGAAGTGGAATAGCTGGGTTTTAGGGTAGTTTCATTTTTAATTTTTTGAGGTAACTCCGTACTGCTTTCCACAGTGGCAACACCGATCTGCATTCCCGTCAACAGTACAAAAGGGTTTCTCTTTCTCTGCATTCTCTCTGGCACTTATTGTTTGTTGATTTACTGATGATAACCATTCTGACAGGTGTGAGGTGATATCTTATTGTGATTTTAATTTTCATTTCTTTGATGATTAGTGATGTTGAGCATCTTTTCACATGTGTATTGGCCACCTGTATGTCCTCTTTGTAGGAGTATCAATTTAGATCCTTTGCCCAATTTTTAATTTGATTGTTTGGGACTTTTTTGCTATGACTTTCATAAGTTCATTTAAGTTTTGGATATTAAACCCTTAGCAGATGTATCAGCAAGTATGTTCTCCTATTTAGTGATTTGTCTTTGTATTTTGTTGATGGTTTCCTTTGCTATGAGAAAACTACCCAAAGCAATCTGTAGATTCACTGCAATTCCTATCAAGACACCAATGCTGTTATTTCACGGGACTAGAACAAATATTTCAAAAATTTATATGAAACCACAAAAGACCTCAAATAACAATAGCCATCTTGAGAAAAAAGAACAAAGTTGGAGGAATTATGCTACCAAATTCAAACTATACTATAAGGCCATAGTAATCAAAACATCATGGTGCTGGCATAAGAACAGACACATTGATCAATGGAACGGAATAGAGAACTCAGAAATAAACCCACACCTTTATCTGACAGAGGAAGCAAGCACATACAATGGGCTGAAGATAGTTTATTCAATAAGTAGAGTTAGGAAAATTAGACAGATACATGCAGAAAAATGAGACTAGACCACCTTCTTATACCACACAGAAGAATAAATTCGAAATGGATTAAAGACTTAAATGTTAGACCCTAAACCATGAAAATCCTAGAAGAAAACATAAGCAGTAAAATATCAGACATTGTTTGTAGCCATATTTTTTTCTGATGTATTTCCTTAAGCAAAGGAAACAAAAGAAAAAAGAAAAACCAAGCAACTGGGACTACATCTGTCTGAATTTTTAAACTAGAAAGGAATATGAAGGTGATTGAAACACAGAATATGTATAAAGC